ACTTTCATGGCTAAAAGCATCCACGTGCTATTCATCTGGCTGGAACAGACTTTCACAGTATTGCAGCATTATAGTTAGAAAAGGATGCCTGACTGGGAAGTCTTCCCATACAACTAGCTTGCCATCAGTCATACCCAGAAAAGAGGAGGGCACTCCTTTACAGATACAGTAAAGATACAAGTGACAGCAACATCTTTTAAGTCCAAAGTGAATTTAAAGGATGGCTGTTCCGATTTCCAAACATGAAAACATCTACAATTTCATTTTTAAAGGATGGGAATTGCCCTCCCCCCTCCCATCCCAAGGAGCATGGAATTTATTATGAGACGACAGTTTTTAGGGAATGTTCTTACAGTATATTCAAATATCAGGCATTTCAAATCCAATTAAAGGGGAAATATTTGCACTAGGGATGTAATAGTATAATCAATTAACCGACAAGCAAAAGCTATAGGTTAATGCTATAGACTACATGCATTCCTCCTCCCACCTTGCCAGTAAATTTTTTAGCAGCTGGCCAGCAATCTAGCTCAGTCCTGGCTTGAAACGAGTCCAGGACCTACATCTGCTGCAGCTCTGCATTTAAAGTGTATTAGGAGCCAGGCGGGTAGGCAGCCGATCTCAGTTCTGGCTTGCACTGGGTTCAGGAGCTCAGACTCACCCTACACAGGGGCTGCTGCCACTCTGCACTTATGTCTCTATCAGAAGAGGCAAGGGGCTCCTCAGGAGCGAGACAGGAGTACACTGGCTGCCAGCCCTGTCCCTGGGGACTACAGAATAGTTGACTAACCATTAAGAATTCTTGTGGTTACTGGACTATTCAGTTAACCAATATTTAATAGTCCTAGTTTGCACAGGAATCCATTCATTACCTTCAATTGTCAGCACAAGCAGTTTTCAAACATCTAGTTTTATTGACCAAGTTAAATGAATTGCAAAGGGGGGGGGGGGGGAGAGTTTCACTTTCTGGTTCTCAAGCATGACATCATGCAGCTTGATTTAGAATTTTAACATTGAGTGGCATTTTTTCCAAGAAAACTTTCACTGAAATTTTTTAAATAGATACAAAAACCTACAAACAGTGTTTAATAAAAGCTTGTTTGTAACAAACTACCTGGTGCTGTCCTTCCTTTGCTGCTGCTAGTACATATAGAAATCATGTCTCAAAGTATTTCAGTTTATTGGAATGCACAAATCTCTATAAAAGCTACAGTCAAAGTGATAGTAGCAGTACCTAGCACATTTTGCTTTGCTGAACATAGCCAGTATGCGGTTTTGCTCATGTAGCATTTAAAAGGGAAAACTAGACTCTGCCTTGTCATTCAAGGCATTTGCAACTACGGTAATAAAAAACCCAGAACCTCCCACCAACCTTAATACTTGCAATCAATAACATTCTGCTCAACTCAGCTGAGGCAAGTGTGCCTCTGTTAGATAGGCAGGGAGTAAGCTCCAAAAGAAAAAGTGTCTTCCATTGAACTCTCAGGCTTTAGGCACATAGAAATTAAGAACATGCAGCTCAGGGGTCTCCACTGATCTCAGGTGGTACCATAGAAGCCACCATTTAGTCTCAGATCAGACAGACAACCAACTTACTTTTGATCAGGCTTGGAACTTCCTTGCTTTCTCTTTCCCCATCCCACTTCCATCTGTCATTCCCCCACACTTTCATGACCACCACTAATGGCTCCATATTTCTTATATTCTGTCCCCCATCATCCAGCCTTTTCTTTGCACTGATTCAGAACTGGATAACACAAGACTTCAAGAACCTTGGTAGGATAGGACACATTTATCAATAAGAATTATTTCTACAGATTGGACCTTCCTGGTCCAGCACTCTCAGGACCAGAGTGATCCCAAGGAAGCAAGTTTGCCGGACCAGGGGAATTGTTTCGGGCTCCCTTCCCGGTCACTGACTCACCCAGTGTGCTGCCCCCAATTGCTGGAGAGGCTCCACTCCTGGCTGCCACCCCACTCCAGCTGAGGGTGGCTCTACTCTTGGTTGGTGGGGCTCTCCACCTGGCACTGCTTTGGCTGCTGGCTGGGCTCCCTGCTGCCCCCAGACCTCGCAGGCTGCCTGCCATCTGAGCGCCCAGTCGCTGGCAACCTCTGTGGCTGGAGCTCTCTAGTGGACCTCGGATGTTGCTGGACCAGAGAATCACGGGCCACAGAGGTTCACATATACATGCACACAGTGAAAGTCCAGAAACCAAAAGCAACCAGAGAGAGAAACCTATTTTTAATTATTCCAAGTTGGTTTTGCATGCCATAGAGCAGTGACCAAAAGCATATGGGCTCATGTTTTCACCACTCAAATTTTCAAGGGGGGGGGGAGAGAGAGAACACACCAGAGAGAAACAAAAGCATCACAAGAGTTCAATAGGCAAAAGTCCTTAATCAATGTCCTCATTTTGCATCTGAATAGCGAGCTCAGCAGTTTTATACTGAATCTCGCCTTCCACTTGAAGAATTGTGCTATGGTGCTATGTAAAAGTTTAAAATGAAAATCCTTGCATAGACACTAGGGGGGGGGAGAGAGAGAACACACCAGAGAGAAACAAAAGCATCACAAGAGTTCAATAGGCAAAAGTCCTTAATCAATGTCCTCATTTTGCATCTGAATAGCGAGCTCAGCAGTTTTATACTGAATCTCGCCTTCCACTTGAAGAATTGTGCTATGGTGCTATGTAAAAGTTTAAAATGAAAATCCTTGCATAGACACTATTCTGCTGGAAGATTAATTGTCAAGCTAGTGGGAAGAAGAGTTTCAGAATGAACCTTAGACACTGAACAAAAAGGTGGCATATACCTAATGGGAGAGGGTGGGGAGAAAACAAACATAAAACATGTGCGCACCACAATTGCAGTGTAAACAGAGTCATAAGGGAGACAATCTTCAACTCTTTTGGAGCCAGATGAAAATGCTGTTGGGCTTTATGTGAATTACATACTGTAATTTAAAAAAGAAAACCACACACTGACCATGGAGGCAAGCATTTTAAAAGGTGCTCCAGGCACCAAAAGTGCATTGGTTGGTAACATCTGTTAATCCAGAGGTTCCTACCTGCTGATTTGCATATCTGTACTGGTACTTCAGGCTTTGGTCACTTGGCCTTCTTGTGCCCCCAAATCCATTGAGGATTAGCACATGCATACTGACTGAGGCCCGCATTGCTCTAGTCTAAATCTATTCTAAAGGCAGGCAACCCACTGCTGCAGGTTGGAGAAGAGAGCTGAATGGGAGACCAGCAGGCCCTGAATGAACCAGGGCAGGTCTCACTTTGTTAAAACTAGTACTGCTCCTCCAGAAAGACAAGAAACAATGACTTAGAAGAATTCAAGTCCAGGATTAATTAAGAGGCCCCACTGTGAGGTAGCAAACAGTAACCTGAAACTCTGCTCTAAAAAGACCTGCAACTGTGGCTATGTGTAGGCATTAGGAGGGGGATTCTGAGCTTGCAGAGGCAGTTGCCACCAGCTTTCATTGAGCTAGCATGTTAAAAACAGTATTGTAGCTGCAGCAGCCTGGGCAGTGCCAACTGGTGGCATGGGGTAGTTGGCTTTTAAGACGGCTCCCTGTGAGCACCAGCTCCCATGGAACTGCCTGCCTCTTCTCTCCCCACTGCATCAGAGGCAACAGCGCAGGGGTGGGCCTTGCATGTGACCATGAAGGTTAACTGATGAGCCTGTAAATTGGGTCAAATTCTCACGACCCTACTTTCCAAACAGGACAGGAAAAGGAGACAAACCCAGAACAAACTGAGAGGAAACAGACCTCGCCAAAGAAGAGATGGACACAAAATCACTCGTTTGTTCCTCTGTGCCCCAAAATATTATTACATAGCAAGGATGTAGCAGGTGACATCAAAGAGGATAAGTAGCAATAACACTATAGGAAACAGCAGCATTTCCAAATGATTTCTTTCAGACATGCATTCATCAAGAGCTATACCTAGGTCACTTATTCAAGGAGTATGCTTCACACCTTTTTATAGTCACAAAAGGTTACTCCACATGCAGTCCAAAACCTCTGAATTTTTCAGTCCCAAAGGTTTTTCAGATGATCAGGGAGAGAGGAGAGTTCAGAGAGCAGGGGCTACGGAAGCTGCTCCTACTTCTATTTTGCTTTCTCAAGGGATTGCTTAAGCAGGTTGACTCTGGCTGTCCTGAGCCTCCACAGAAATATTACATGAGATTAGATTTCCCTTTTAATGCAGAAGCACCAAGACAATGTATACGAGAATAGCATAGGCCAAACTTCCTGTATACTGCTAAGAGCAGCAAAAGGTGGGGTTTCCTGTAACCTATACATTAAAAAGCTGGTCCAATAAGGCACATTTTTCAGTGGAACATGCTGCTCGTGTAAGCATAAGGGATGTCAAATCCCAGTTAATCAGTTAAATCCACTGAACAGGGTGGACAAGGGCTGCTGTGGACCCACTGTAGGTAGGAGCTGCTCCAGCCCACTAATCAACCATAACCTGGAAGCATCACCTAGTATGGGTGATGCTTACTGGTTAACCATTCTCATCCCTAGTATGCACGCCATTTCACTTGTTTCAGAGTCATTTGTGTTAATCAGCTAATTGAGTAGTCAATGGAATTTCTAACCACTGCTCAATTAGTCAATGGGGGGGGAAGCACACTCTACCCCCACTATGGCTTTGTATTTTAAATGCACAACAGCCCACCTCCTACTACATTTAAACTGCAGAGCCACAGGGGGGATAGCTTCCCAGCCTGGACTAAGCGCTGCGGATTCGTGCGGTCTCAGACCACTGTTTCTTCACTGCATCTTTGCAGTGCAGGCAGGAACCAACTTTTAAGGCAGCTCCCCCAGCACCAGCTTCTGTTCCCCCCCCCCCCTTGCTGCCTCTGACACAAGGAAGCGAGTAGTCGCCTCAATCACCCAATAAGCATTTGCTTATCAGGTAGTCAACTACTCCCTTATATCCCTACAGAGTACAATACATTTGCCATTTAACTCTTCCACATACCATACTTGGGCAAGTCCATCCCAATCCATCTGGTATTCCCCCTGTTTCTATAGTGCTATGTGCCATAGCAACAGAATGTGATAACATTCCTTTAAGTGGTAATATTCTATGGCAGTACACATTTCTTCAGCAAGACCAATTCTCCCATTCCCTAGGAGGCTGACTATCAAGCATCCAGGTTACTTGCCAGAAATATAGAACCTGAGAAATACTGACAATGAGAGGAAAGTGGCCTCACTTGGTTTGGGTGTTTTCCATTAATGCAAAAACCATTGTGAACTGTGTGGCACCACAATAGCTCTCATACTCCATGTTAGCAGCTTGGTTATTTGTATCTATAATGTATCTCAAGAATCTCTTCTCCCCCAGCTCACAGAGTAACCTAGGGAGCTGGCTGTCACCAGGTAAATTTGACAGTTGGGAGTAAGCGAACAAAGCCTGCAACTTTCATTAAGAGGCAAAAAGAACTGAAGCAAGGAATTTGCGCATAATGCTTTGCTCCCTGCTTAAGCCTCAGGCAGAGGCTGAAGGTTTTTGTCCCTTAAACTGAGTGTTTGTGGTGATTTTCAGTCACACTGAGAAAGCTCTCCAGGTTGTATCATCAAAAAGGGTTTTCTAGCAACAATCTTGCAAATGCAGACAAGTCCTTAGGCAGATATCCTAAAGCAATCCCCTACTTGGGAGTGGTAGAAATGTAGTCCATTTCCTGGACACCACAGTACAAATCAGCAATGGAAAATTAGACACCACTCTACAGAAAACCCATTGACTCATACAGTTACTTACATGCTTCCAGCTCCCATCCAGAACAAACCATACGCTCCATCATTTATAGCCAAGCCCTTCGATACAACCGCATCTGCTCTAATCCCACTGACAGAGACCAGAAGCTTCAGGATCTCTACCAAGCATTTATAAACCTCAACTACACACCCAGAGAAATAAAAAAGCAAATTGAAAGAGCCAGACGAAAACCTAGAAACCAACTACTTCAAGACAGACCCAAGAAAAACAACAACAGAACACCACTTCTCATCACCTACAGCCCCCAACTTAAACCTGTCCAACACATTATCAATAAACTACAGCCTATACTGGAACAGGATACTAAACTCTGAGAGGCTCTGGGAGACAGACCCATAGTCTCTTATAGACAACCACCTAACCTCAAGATGATTCTTACCAACAACCACAGGACATACCACACTAATACCAACCCTGGTACCTTCCCTTGCAACAAACCCCGTTGCCAGCTTTGTCCACATATTCACTCTGCTGATACCATTATTGGACCCAACCGAGTTATAAGATCAAGAACACATTCTGCACATCCAGAAATATAATTTATGTAATCATGTGCCGAAAGTGTCCGTCCGCTATGTACATTGGACAAACATCTCAGACACTTCGCCAAAGGATCAATGCCCACAAAACAGATATTAGACAGGATCACAAAGAAAAAACAGTTTCTTGCCACTTCAACCAGAAAGGACATTGTCTCAACAACTTAATTACCTGCATCCTGCTTCAAAGACCTTTTAAGACTGCACTTCAAAGAGAATCCTCTGAACTGTCATTCATGCTTAAATTCGACACGCTATGTGCAAATTTGAATAAAGACGCTAATTATCTTACCCATTACAAAGATAGCTTCCCCAATTATCACCTCTAACATCATTAGCTCACAGACATTTACCTCCCTCCCTTCCCCCCCATCCCTCTTCTGTTCTGAAATTTGATTTGTCCTTTTCATATGTGTTCATTTTTTAAAATTGTATCCTTTGGTATATATGGTTGTGACAATTTTCTTCCACTATTTGATCTGAGGAAGTGGGTCTGGCCCATGAAAGCTCACCTATTAAACCATCTTGTTAGTCTTTAAAGTGCTACACAGTCCTGTTTTTTGTTTCTACTTAGGAGTGTATGCCTACACTGCAGCTGAAACAAGCCTTCCAGACTCATGGTTGGTGGCATTTGAATTGGAGTGCTTAAAAAAAGGTGTGGATCCTGCAGCTCTGTTGCAGACTCTGATCAGATACCCAAGCTTAGGTGTACAAGATCAAGTGGGATTGGCCTCAACTGGCTTGCCCAGAGCCCCAATGTCTAAACAGTTATCGTTAGCATTTTAGAGTCTGTCTACAGCATTTTCCTTCCTCCCCCTCTGGCATGGGGGAAACCAGGAACCAAAGATGGCTCCCTGCGTAGTGCTAATTTGTTCCCTCAAAACACTTCCTGCAGCCTCCCCATCCAACCCTTCCGAGAGGCTTCCTGCTGGTGAACGGGAGCAGAGGGAGGTGCATTACATAAACAGTTATCGTTAGCATTTTAGAGTCTGTCTACAGCATTTTCCTTCCTCCCCCTCTGGCATGGGGGAAACCAGGAACCAAAGATGGCTCCCTGCGTAGTGCTAATTTGTTCCCTCAAAACACTTCCTGCAGCCTCCCCATCCAACCCTTCCGAGAGGCTTCCTGCTGGTGAACGGGAGCAGAGGGAGGTGCATTACACGTTGCTTGCCGTTGTCGTGCGGCACAAAAACAAGTGCCCCCCCCCA